AGTGCCACGCTAGTAGTAACAAGTGCCTTACTACTAGTAACAAGTGCATCGCTAGTAGTGACAAGTGCCTTACTACTAGTCACAAGTGCCACGCTAGTAGTAACAAGTGCCTTACTACTAGTAACAAGCGCCACGCTAGTAGTAACAAGTGCCTTATGGACTTATGGACCTGTGGTGGAAAGGATTCAAGTCGGTTGCATACTGTACCATCGAAGGGCATTGCCAACGAGGTGAAACAAGCACCACATCGAAGCTGTGCAGGGGATGTGACGCAAATCATAGGGGTGAAAGGAGGGGCCTACAACCACGGCAAGGCGGAGTCATGGATGCCCTCGCTCCACGACACAGCCAGGCGGAAGAGACCAGGAGGTGGGGCGAGGCTCGTCAGGTGCAAGACCACAGCCAATGTCATCAGGTCACCAAGGAAGGAGATTAGGACCCCATACGGCGAAGGGCTGCCCTGGCATTCTCCGTCTGGAGGGCCACAGCCAGGGCTTGGAGCAGCCGCTCCGTTTCCACGGAGGGCGGCTCGTTCGACCTGGCGGCTGTGGCTTTGGCGAGTTCACGCCAGGTCTTGATGGCGGTCGGGCCCCAGCCACCGCCACAGGCTCCAGCGACCAGTGGGAGGAATTGGAGTCCTTCATTCTGGCAGGTGGTCTCTGTGTTCTGGAAGCCACGCTTGCGAGCTTCGTAGTCAGTAATCGCTCGGCTCCCGTCGGCCGCTGTGGCTGACAGGTTCCCAGCACGAATGCCGGATGTCACGGCGAGGTCAAGGGCAGCAGGGCCAAGGACCCCCCAAGTGCCAATCCACACGTCAGCAGGGCGGCGGCCGTTCCCGCGAGCGCAACCATCTTCAGCATGACCAGCATCTTCTGGGCGGGGCGGCAGGAGGCCAGGCTTCTCAACTTCCACATGGAGGCCAGCGGCTTGCGCCCAGGCAGCCACAAGGCCGCGGAGGCGGTGGTGGCGTTTGGTTCTGTCGCCGCCGCAAGGGCAGACGCGAGCATGGTCGCCATAGCGGTCAGCAATGCCATCGCAGAGAGGGCAGGGTTCCTCGACCGGCATCAAGGGCAGGCGCAAGCGGAGCTGCACCATGATGCGAAAGAGGGGGCCGGCGACATGTAGGCCCAGGGCGGCGGAAGGTGGGGCGCCAGCCAGGCGCCAGCACCAGTGCCTTACTACTAGTAACAAGTGCCACGCTAGTAGTAACAAGTGCCTTACTACTAGTAACAAGTGC